CTCAATTTCTCAACTACTAACTGGAGGGTGATAAGAACCATGGCTGAGATTGCTAGTTCTCTTCCCCAAAATCATTCTTGCCCCCTTCTTTGCTGACAGAACCCTGATTTTAGTAGGGGATGGCAACATGCCTTGCTGAAGGGATAAATTTCTGGCCTTCCTTGCAACTTTGGGTGGAAAATAAGATGTAAGTGAAAGTCATCCTATGGGGATAGCAAAATTTCTCTAAAAAAGAAATACTTATCTGGGAAGTGTTCCTTTTGATCTGCTCCCAATTTCTCTTTCTTCTTGTCCAGGACTCAGATAATGTGTCTGGAACTTCAGCAAACATCTTGGATCATGAGGATATAAGCCCAGTACCAACTGGGCGGTGGAAGAGAAAGATAAAAGGAGCTGGTTCCATGATGACCAAGAAGTCACTGTACCAGCCCTAAATGGCCCACCTCCAGACTTCTTTTATATAAAGGAGAAGAAAATCTCTATCTTAATATGCTTATTTGGAGCTACTTGTTAAATACCATCAAATCTAATGCCGATTGAAGTACCTACATCAAAGATCTCTCTATACTAAGCAAATAAAATAATTCCTATAAAACATGTAGTGTAGGGCCCTGGCACTTAGTAATTACCCAATAAATGTTAGTTGCTGTTGCTACTATTACTAATACTCTATTAACTATGATTAGTATTAGACCACCAATAGTATCATGTCTTATCTTCCCCAGGGCTTCAGATGCAAATTTCCTGAGAGCAAAACTTATAATATACTTCTATTTGTATCGCCTGTAGGCCTGCTGCTATGCCCTGCACATAAATTTTCTCAAAGTCATCTCCTACTTACAGAAAAAATAAGTTTAAGCTTGTTTTTGAGCTAAATTGGCTGAGTAGAATCAGTTTTATCAATCATTGCTAACAACACTGGAGAAACAGTTCCAATTTTTATATAGGTGTCTGTATTCCCTAATTCTTGTTTTAAAACAGGTGTCTTATTTATATGTGAATTAGCAACCAGTTTTGTTAAGGTATGCTGTTAACATTATCTTTATTTACAAAAAAAAAAAAAAAAGCGTGCAAAAAATCTTGGCAAGTCTGCCCGCCAGACCCCAAAAAGATCTGCCCACATTCAACAGTCTCATTGTTACTATTGTTGCTATTCCTTGTTGAGCACTTACTATGAACTTGGCACTGGGTGAAGCACTTTCTGTATCTTGTCTGAATCAACAGCTGGTATCAGTGGGAGAGACAGGACTGCCTTCACCCCTTCCTGCAGTCTAGTCTAATGTCAGCTTTTCAAACTCAAGCCTAATTACAGAAACTGTTTCTGAAAAGATTTGAGCCTATAGAAAACTCACAGAAGTTCCCCTTTATTCTGCATTTACTTCCCTTTTCTTCTCATTTAGAGGAGAAACAGTTTTCAAAAGAGAGAAGAAATCTTAATTCTTCATTTCTCTTTTCCTCCAAAATAATCTCTATTTTTTTTTTTAAATGATGTTCAGGGCGGTTGGGTGGCTCAGTCGGTTAAGCGTCTGCCTTCGGCTCACGTCATGATCCCAGGGTCCTGGCTCCGCGGGAAGCCTGCTTCTCCCTCTCGCACTCCCCCTGCTTGGGCTCCCTCTCTCTCTCTCTCTCAAAACTAAATAAATAAGACTTCTTTTGAAAAAGTTTTTAAAAAATGATGTTCATAATCCCTTGTTAGAAACAAATCAAACACTTAAAGGTCCATAGGAACTTTACATCCCGAGAAAAAGGGAAATATTCTTTGGTACTTAAGGAAAGTATGAATTGAGGAAGTCTTTCAAAAAATATATTCGTTGGCCCTCCATTCTCTTGCAAGAGCTCTTCACTCCCCGGGCCTGCCTGCGTCCACCCTTAACAACTCACACACCCTTCTGTTTCACACCCGACTCGTCCCATATTTCTAATTCGCACACATTCTTTGTCTCTTGTCCCTGCTCCGCATGTTAATCTCAATGCAATAACTTTGAAGTAAGAATATTGATTTTCTATGTCAAGTTAAATGCATACAAATAAGAGGATCCCCTGATTATGACACCGACACCGTCATGAATTTGTTTAGGGGCCCCGAGGGCCAGCTAATCCTACAAAAACTGCTCTGTGGACCTACGTTACACAGTCACTCGGTTCAACTGGATCTTGTTTTTTAAAGTCACATTGAAATCAAAGTGTTTTCCCAGGCTCTTGAAGTGCCCGGGTCAAGAATGCTGACAATCTGCCATCAGAGAAAGGCTGTCAGCGTCCTTGCTATCAAGCCCGTCCAGTCATCACTGCAGAAGGACAAGCAGGCAGCCCGCTGCCTTATGACAAGCACTGTGACTCCGGGAGGGAGCCAAGTGCTATGAATGAAGCCCCGTAAAAGGTCATTTTATGTAAGAGGAAAAAATGGCGTCACCCGGAGCGCATACATAATTTTGAATCAAAAACCTGTTCACTGGATGCTGGAGCACATGTACTCATTCAAGATCCCTCTTCTTCTTTCTCCCCTCTCCTCTCATGAAATCTCCAGGTTGTCCAGTTTGGGCATTTAATGTCCTAGGTAGGTCATAAACTATTACTTATGATTGAATTTGTGGCCGTGTGGGTTACATTCACCTAGTTTCCTAAAAGGGCAGCAACAAGTTTTACCATCCCACCTACTAGGATTTCATGGAAGCCCATGTCCTTCCACAAACTTTTTTCAGGGAGCAGTTCTCCTGACACCTACACAGAGAGGCTAGAAAAGCCAGTCAGCTTCCTCCTCAAGTAACTATATAAACATTCAAATCACTTCAAAATTCTCAGCTTCAGAGATAATTTCAAGACCTCAAGGGTGACTAGTAACACTGGAAACATTCTGTGAATATTTTGGAAGTCATATGATAAAACAAATTCCCACATCTTTTTAATCCAATTTCTAAATAAATGATTTTCAATAAATTAAATATATATATATCCCAACCACCATATTATAAAATACATCCTTTGCAAAATATATATCTGCTTTCTTTCATGAATTTTCCTCTTGCTTAACGTTTCTGTTAACCCACACACACGGATTATATTTGAAGGGTCTAAGACATAACTCACTTTCTAAACTTGTGGAATTGGAATTTAATTAAAATAAATGGTTTATTTTCAATATCTATAAACTCCTTAAGATGGTTTATATAATTTAAATGAAAATGTATACTTATGGGGGGAAAGCTGTGATGTCTGAATTCTTCAAGTGGTTATCTGCAAGAACAACAACATCTTGAATTGAGGTAAATTATCTTCCATACCTCACAAAATGGTGGCACAGTGGGAAAAGCATCAATTAAGAATCAGGAAAGCTGGATTCAGGTTCTAATCTGGTCATCAGCTTCAACTGGCTGTGTGCCCATGGGCAGGTCATTGCCTCCCCCACCCCAGCTTCATTTTCTTCCTCTGCAAAAAGGGGAAGGATGAAGGAGACTTTGTCTAAACTCCTAAAATTCCATTTTCAGCTTTGGTCTCAAACTCACGATTTATGCAAGAAGAAGAGAGGCATTATTGACTACCATTTTATAGAAGGCAAATACAAAGAAGGGTCCACTAGCTGTTGAGAAAGTCATGCAGCTCAGGTCTTCCAGTAGCTACCTGGCACTTTTTACAGGCATTGGGACTTAATTAGAACTTCTGGCAATAATTACAATTATTGAATAGTGGGCCTGTGCATTGTGGAAGGATCAGATTCACCCCCACACCTGCAAACACAACTCATAGACTGACATCTACCTTAAGAGTCTCCTTTGTTGGGCACCTGGGTGGCTCAGTTGGTTAAGCGACTGCCTTCAGCTCAGGTCATGATCCTGGAGTCCTAGGATCGAGTCCCGCATCAGGCTCTCTGCTCAGCGGGGAGTCTGCTTCTCCCTCTGACCCTCCTCCCTCTCATGCTCTCTGTCTCTCATTCTCTCTCTCTCAAATAAATAACTAAAATCTTTAAAAAAAAGAGTCTCCTTTGTTGTCAGGGACTAAGGATAAAGTTATTGAATTATCCTCCCACTGAGATCTAGCCATTCCCTCCTGTGGTGGTGTTGAAACAAAACAACAGGAAATTGCAAAGGGCCCTGGCACCACCACAAACCACTGCTTTGTAATAGGAGTTTAGGCAAGGTGGGGCTGACCCTCAAAGCAGAATGCTTAACGTTCTGAGGGAGCCAGCTCTGCCCAGTGCTGTTTCAAACCCTTCAGATGTCACGTTCTGCAACAAAAAACTGACCAACCCGCCTTCATTAGCCATGAAAGTTACTAGCAGGAAAAGTGAAGACACACACACACACACACACACACACACACACACACACACACGTACATGTATTGGGAGTTACTTAGAAGGATCATTAAAGTGTGTGTTTACAAACTGCAGCCAAGTTTTGTAGAAATGGGCATTTCTACAACAGCGAAAAACCAGAAAGGAATAAAATTATTACAAGTTTGGCTTCTTTGACTGTGATGAGTCACAAAGCTGCTCTGCGCTTTTGAGGTGATGAGTCAGCCCTGATGGGGTTAGCTGCACTACTTGGTAGAATTTGCTCCAGCAGAGTTCAAAATAATTGCAAAATAACTGACCTGTGTGAACTATCAGCATCGGGAGAGAGCCAGCGGAGGACAATGACATAATTAAAACGTTGAGACTCCTCAAGAGTCATTTCCTGTTTCTTTCTGCACAACAGTCGAATACTCATTCATCAGAATGTCTGGTCCTACAGGACGGCAGTTCGTGTTTGCTCACTCCATTATAAATGACTCTGGCAGGGTTTGAGAATAGGCAACATAACCACATGGACGATTTTTTCAAGTCTTCATTTCCGGAGTCTAACAAAACATCAGATGCTTCAGGTGAATGCCCGGGCGGGGAAGTAGCCATGCCCACATCTACCCTACCTCAGAGCAGTTAATTGTGACCTATCAGGTAACAAACCGGACAGCTCTGTCCTCAGGTGCTAACAATCTCTTCAAATTAAAGTCAGATGCCAAACAACCCTCAGACCAAGGAGACCTGCCTACAGCTGCATTCCACCCACATCGTTGTCTAAATCTCCAAAGTCCTCTGGCCCCCACCTGTGCCATCTTTGATAACCGGACTCACTCTGTAGGCAATCAAGGCCGGGGCTCTAGAACTCTCACACCATGATATTTACTTGCCTTTCTATCTGGATGGTGAGAGTTTCCAACAAAGTCTTTGAAAAAGAAGCAAAGCAAGTAAGAACGCCTTGTTCAATAGCTTCAGATGGCCAGTGAGTTCATGCCTCAGCTTTTCCTCTGTTGGTAATTCTGGACAGTTGTAATATTATGTTCACATGATTCTTTCCACTTTAATATAAATATAAATTTGGCTTAAATTCTATTTTAAAAAAAGGCCAGAATTACTTGATGTTATTTTTTTTAGTTGCAATAATCTTCTACTTCTTAAATCCAGATTGCTTGGATTGGAATACACATATGTGTATTATATATACATACGATATCTCTAGGTATAATAGATATATAGATATAATATCTAATCCCTCTTAAAATAGTACCCAGATAGTAACAATGTTTTCATTCCCATAGTGCTTTGTTGTGAGTATAAAGTAGTTAAGTGGTAGCTCTGGGACTTAAACTCATGGAGATTTCATTGCCACTTCATAGTGTGTCCATAGCATCGCCTCAAGAGCCGGGCTACTATTCCCGCTTACAAATGAGGAGACTTAAGGCTCAGAGAGATTAAATGAGCTGCCTAATGTCACAAGACTAAGCAGAGTCAGAACTAGAATCCAAGTCCCTGCTCTTCTCAATATGAGGAATACGTGAGTATATTTATTGAAGCAGCATTGACAATAGCATAAAAACAGAAACTCACTGGATGACAATAGGAAAATCAATGAAATAATATATCAAAACAATGGGATATGATGTTGCCATATGACTTTAAATAGTAATAATTAGGATGATAGCTACCATGTATTGAATGGGTACTTTGTGACAGGAACAGTGACAGCCCTTTATGTAAACTACCTACTTTTGGTTTCACAACTCCATGACACAGGCACTAGTATTGTCTGCATTTTACACATGAAAACTGAAGTTAAAATACATCACTTTCCCAAGGGAACTCAGGGAACAAGAACGAGATTATCTGGCTCTAAAGCATGGTTTCTCAACTTTGGCACTATTAACATTTTGGACTAAATAATTCTTTGTTGTGAAGATCTGTCTGTCCTGAGCATTGTAGGATATTGATCCCTGACCTCTACCACCAGTTGTGAAAACCAAAAGTGTCTCCAAACATTGTCAAATGTCTCCTGGGGAACAAAATTGCTCCAGGTTGAGAGCTTCTACTCTAAAGCATAGGCTTAACCATTATACTATATACTGTGTCCAATATCACCAACCTTCCTACAGAAACATAGTGGTAGAAATAAATATTTATAAATATTGTATGTGTGTACATACAGATGTATAAATATGTATATTTATACATTCTTTCTATATAGGTGTTCATTCACAGACATAGTCATAGGATTACTTGAGAAATAGGTTCTGAGACTCTCAGATTTGATTGCAAGAGGTTTGGGTGGGAAGTGAGGAGGAGGGTCAGGGTTCCTGGGAACCTTACCTGTGAGGAAACAAGGGAAACAGGATTGGCCAGAGGGGGAACTAAACTGCAGTGCAAATTCACTGTTGGGACAGGCCTCAACAATTCTGTGGGGAGCTCTGGATGCCCCTTACACCTGTCCTGATGGATACAACAGCTCTCCTCTCTCCACAGACCAATCACCAGACGTGGGCTATCCCCAAGGAGGAGCGCATCCTAGAGCAAGGTGGCTCTCCCTGAGACAAGGCTGAGGACAATTCCAGGGAAAGGGCTCTCTGAGAGCACAACAGCCACCAACATTCTCCTACCTGGGGACCAAATGTCCTCTCTGCCCTGAAGTGGCAATCTGGGTGATTGCCTCTACAGATACATGTAAGAGTATTTTTATTGTTTATTAATATGTTTATTGTTTAATTGTAACTCGCTTAAAATATATAAGCATGTGGACCAGAATTGGAAAGTAATAAGCAAAGGAAAACAGGAGCACTATGAATAATGATTGTTTTTCTTTTTCGAAGTTAAATACAAGGATGTTACCATCAAATTGGTCTTACCCTTTAAAAGAAGTGCTGAGTTCTCAGAAAATACAATTCATAGCTTTAACAATGTCATATATTATACATTCATATGGCTATAATGATTCCCAAGCCAGTTTATCTGCTGTATGCAGGGAGCTTCTAAGCACCTTGATGTGTGCTAACCTATTAAATCTTCTCAATAACCCGAAGGTAGGAATTTTTGTTAACAATTTAACAGAGAAGGAAATTGAGTTTCTAAAAGGTTAAGACATGCAAGATCTACCTATCTGGTAAGTGATGGAACCCAGGTTTGAACCTATGCACTAGGACTCTGAAGTCCTTCCAACCCGGCTTTACCCCTTTTCACATGGTATCCCTGACATCCCCTTGCAATGGCAGTAACTTTTCTTCTCGTTTTTCATTTCTTCTTTAAAAAACAAAGAAACGGCAGAGTAATAAAGCTATCACTGTAAGACTATGCTAAAGGATAAAAAAAAAAAATTGCCTTCAAATTCCCCATTTGAAAGTCTTTTGAGATGTAATGTCTTTTAGATGCCAGTGGAGATTGTAAGAGTAAAGTTATATTATTTTCCTTTAAAGAATCAAGTCTCTCTTCTGCTCTCAACACAAAACAGGAAGCTTTACAGATAACCTGTTTGAAGAATGATTCTCTCAGAGTCGAGGCTTTATGTTCTCAAGAGACTGAGAACTCCAATCTGTCAGAACTCAGAGGGAACTGCCTTCAAGCTAATCACTAGGGACCATCTCTCATCCTCTGGGGTGCTATGGAAAATTCAACTCAAATTCATTAGCAATCTGAAAGCTAATTATTTCACCAAAAGATCTTAGTGAATTTCTATATTAAAAATTCCCAGCTGGGGCACCTGGATGGCTCAGTTGGTTAAGCACCCGACTCTTGATTTTGGCTCAGGTTGTGATCTTAGGGTTGTGAGATCAAGCCCCGCATGGGGCTCCACGACCAGCTCAGGGTCTGCTTGAGATTTTCTCTCTCCCTCTGCCCCACGCCCCAAACACCCCCTCCAAAATAAATAAATAAATAAATAAGTCTTTTAAAAAAATTCCCAACCTCAAAAATGGTCCTTTTCTTCTCAGAATGGCCATGGCCTTTATAACAGCCAAGCCCCTTAGAACCTTTCTCCCACTGGAACACATATTGTACATGCCAGGTGAACAAGGCCTCCAAAAGGGGCACAGGTTGGTCATCACAATGGATACTTTATTTGAAATGGAATGCATTTTGAAAATATGAAAAATAAATCACATCTCTCCAAAATCATTTGAGACATATTTACACAAATTATGACCACACTATTAAGTTCACAAATGTGACATTTTCTAAAGCATTTGGTACCTGGTGATGCTTGGTTTTCAGAAGCCGACATTTGCATATTCTAAAACTAAGCATAAGACTGACAGTGGAATGTAATGGACAATAGTTTTATCTTTCTTCTCAAAATAAATACAGTGATCCAGAAGGACCACCTATTATTAAACCTTCCCCAATGCCTAACTGATCACCGACAGGTCACTTCAAAGCAGGTTGCCGTAGGTCTCACCAGCTTTTATGCAGATGCTTCCAGAGTCCTTCTGCTGCCTTCACTGGACAATCGTGCCCTGCCAGGAAAACCCTGTTGGATTCTATCCTCCATTTGGCAAATGTCCTGCCAACAAAGTCACAGACCCCTTTGTCATCCAATCTTCTGTAAATCTAGATTGGCTGTTCAACACTGCAGATCAAAAAGTCACCCTTCAAATTGTGTCAAGAATTTAGAAAACAGATCTTTAAAACCCATTCAACAGAATTCCACAATTAATACATCTTAGGTTGCTTTAGGTAAACATGCATATTTCTCTTGAAAGAATGATATACTCAATGTCAAGCTCTATAATTCCCAAGTTTAAATTTCAGGCTGCGGCTGAGGGCAGTTTATTGGTAAAGCAAAAGCAAATTAGCTTGACATTTACAAAAGAGAAGAAGGAATACTCCGAGGCCCATTTTCACCTACAAAGCTCTGAGCTCCATGGGACTGTTCCCGTCTCACTCAGGTCTCAGAACCTCTCTTCAGCCTGCCCCTGCCCAGGACACTGCAAATGACTGGAGCCCAACGAAAACCAAGTCACTTTCTCTGGGGACAGAAAACATGCAATGTGCTTGAACTCACACACTGGCAACAAACTCCTGTAGTGTCAGATTTAAAGTGAGGGGCCTTAAGAGAAACCGAGTGTTGGTGTATGAGGGCAGGAAAGAGTCAAAGCAAGCCTTCCTCGCAGTGTTTACATGGGAAGGGAGCTCCTTTAAGCAATGAGTTGCTTTTTGGTTTTTGTTTTACCTCCACTGGAAAAAACACATGAAGTGAAATTATAAAGTCGGGCTGATTTCTACATGATGAGAGAATCCCAGCTTCCTCTATGACAGAAATGATCACTTTGAAAGGGCCCTTTATAGCCATTTACTCTCTGACCTCAGCACTCCCTGTAGGGCACACACAGATCCATGTGCATTTCTGCTAAGAGTCTGTCTAAGGAGCTTCGTCATGAGGCTTAGCCTGCCCAGTGGTACTTGTTCTCCGGAACAACATGAAAGCCAGTGAAGGAAGCATGTGTGAGGCAAGAGAAACCACCTCCTGGATACTGGGAGCTACATATTTTTTCTTCTTTCATTCATTTGTCCCAACAAATAGTGACTGAGCTCACTGTGTCCAAGGCTTGGTGTCAACACAAGTTCAAGGACAAAAGTTCAGTTTCCAGATGGGGACATTGCTTTTCACGTCTTCTTCCATTCCTTTTCCAACTCTTTACATTGTGTTTATTTAAGGGGTGCATTTTCTATTGAACCTGTCCTTTCCTTTTTACTTTTCTTGGACTGAAAGAATCATTTTTACCTTTTTCCATGATTTGTCAGGCCTCAAAACACCTTAGGTGGTTTGTATCATTTTCTTACAGAATATGGTAGAATTTGGGCACTGACACATTAAGTGATTTGCATTTATACTTTGTTTTGTTGAGTTTTGGTAAGCCTGTTTTTTGTTGTTGTTGTTGTTCTGAAAAAAATGATTCAGCCATAATCATTTCAAAGTGTCAAACAACAAAAAACATCCTATTTCTCTCCTTTCTAATTTCTGAGATTTCACAGGTAAATGCTAAGAGGGGTTCAGACTAGAGAGCCACTAAGAGGGTCAACTCAATGTAAACCACAATAACAACCACAGCCATGGGGGGGTGGGGGCAGGAAAAAAATTTCCAGCAGCCAGGAGGGAGCCTGGGCATATTTTTTTGAACAACACTACCTAGCCTATATGTCAGCTAACAACATACAAATACCTTTTAAAAGCCCACGTGAATCTTCATTTTAAAAATATTTGGTATGGGCGCCTGGGTGGCTCAGTCGTTAAGGGTCTGCCTTCGGTCATGATCTCGGGGTCCTGGGATTGAGCCCCACATCGGGGGTCCCTGCTCCGCAGGAAGCCTGCTTCCCCCTCTCCCACTCCCCCTGCTTGTGTTCCCTCTCTCGCTGTCTCTCTCTCTGTCAAATAAATAAATAAAATCTTTAAAAAAAAATACTTGGTATGGACTTTACTTTTATAGCACAAAAACTTGAAAAACTATAGTTTAATCAGGGGTTATATGATCTGCATATATTAAAACAATACAATGAGACATTATCTAAAAAGCTCAGCAGTAGTCTCAAGAGAGGCCAAACCACACTTCAGAACTCCTCAGCTTTGCTGTCGGAACTGCCCATCATATATACATATATGTGTGTGTGTATATATATATGCTTCTGACCTTTGCAGCATATTTTCATAGCTGTGACTTAGCCACTGGAAGTGGGAGTCCCTTAAGTTTTTCTTGCCATTTGCCTGAGTTTTTGTTTTTCCCCACAACTTTGCAGATTAGAGTTGTGGTCTCAAAATTTCGTCATTTAAGTATTGCACTAAAAAGTAATTAGATCTAAACTCCTTCCCAGGTGGAAGGAGAATAAAGACATCTCTAGCGTTAAATTCTACTTTCGTTTCTGTACTACCTAACTTAGCAATAGCCTAATACTGACCATTCCCATTTGGATGCTGGAAAAATACTATCAAAGACTTTGTGGGAAAGAGAATGGAAAACAGAGATCGTCAGTAAAGCCATGCAGATAGGAAGTGATTTTCAGCCCCAAGAGGATTTGTTATCAACTATGGCTCTTTTTAAGCTTAAGTAGCATCTGCCCTTGTGGATTTTGATCATCCTTTTGATTTGACACAGAAGACGGTTTGTTCCACCTTTTAAAAGCACATGCTCCCCCCTCCACCCCGCCCCTCAGACTCCTGAACAAGTAGACGTTAAAACAAGACTGGGTTGTTTTCTCACTGAAAATCCAGTGTTTATCCAGTCCTTCCTTTTTCAATTTCTGAGTTTAGTTAACCTAACTGGAAAACATAGAACCCTCAAATTTCTCACAGAGCAATAAAAAGCAAAACAGTTGGTTTCTCTCATCAACATTATTTTCAGTACAAATACAAAAAAGCTATGACTCCTAGTCCTTCAAAATATTTACAAACTGTATTTTAAACTATGAGATTCTAGAGTATATTTCTAGAATACAGTAAAAGGGTCAGAAAATGTGGTTCAAGTAGAGTGTGCAAAGCTAGAGAAGGGTAATCTCTAGTGTGAATAAGAGCACAAATGTTCTCTCAAACAAACTGAATGGTTTTCTCTTTTCCCCCCACTGTGTTTTTTGAAACGCCTAGTGCATTCATACTCAGAAATCATAGAAATCTCCTTATTAGTCTCTTCAAACGGATGTTATAAGCAAGGCTTTTCCTGCATTACACCAGCCCTACCATATATTTATGGTATGTTCATCCTGCCATCAGTTGGGTTACGTATTAAATATTTGGAATTAGACATCATTACTACGAATTTCCTTTTAGAAAAGCAATTAGATTTTCATAGTTATACAATTCTGAACATTTAGCTTTTTAAACTTCTATTCTACAGAAAATATGTCTAAGAAAAAAAATCTCAAAAAAAAGAAGTAATATCACAGAGTTTAATTTCAACCACCTGGCATAACAATGAAAGTGTCAGACCTTCTGAAAATGCCCTAGGAATAATGAATGAATTCTTAATGTTTTCCCCTCCACCACCCTTCTACTTTTTTTTTTCTTTTCCAAGATTAGAATTTACTAGGGAATAGGTTTTTGAAAATAAAGTTTCTTTTTTGGAAAATGGCCTACATTCAGAAATGTCTTAAAACAAGCATTTTTTAAAAAACTAATAAATAATCATAAATCAAAATACATTAAAATAAAATTACAGTACATCATTGCTCCTAGAAGGTCCACCACACTGGAAGATCCTTTCAAAGGTTCATAAATAAAGCCTTCTGGACTGAAACCGTTTCCTGCATTGTGATGAAGAGTATGCGGAAAACTAAGAGGAATCTCAAGTTATCAGTAGGGTGATGTCCAAACTACTTGATCTGGTGCGGGGCGGGGAGACTTTTGTTTTCGATTCAAGTGAAGACAATAGAAAGGTGCTCGTCCCACTTCCTCAAGTCCTCAAAACCTGGAAAGAAATGACAGGAAATTAAGTCATTGGCTCAGAATCCTCCAAAACCCAGCTCTCTTAGGCCAGTCCGGCGGACAAAGCGCGCTCAGAAAGACACAGGGGTCGCTCCCTCGAGTGTCCGACACTCGAGCGGCTCTGGTGACACGGACAGAGCCAGCAGCGTCGCTGGGAAGCGCACCACCGGACCCGC